TGAGATCATGACCTAAACCAAAGGCAGACGTTTAACCTACTGAGCTGCCCAGGTGTCCCAACAAGTTCTTTCTTTGAAAAGAAATGGGGTTTTCAAATCATGCCCTCACTGAGTGGACGCAGAATCACAGAATTGTATTGAGCAGCTCTGGGCTCTCTAAAGGAGGATAATGCTGCAGTAAGTGAAATCAGAGACGGAGCTGGGTAAGTTGTCGGGTTAAAACCTCAACCCTTGTCTTCATGTTGGTCCTGGTTGTTGCCAAGTCATGACTCCATCTCAGAAGAGGAAAGGTTTTTAGGAAGAAAGAACAAGGTGGCTCTCGAAATTCACACTCACAGTATGAGTCGGAGTAACACTCGCATGTGGAAGTTCAAATGGTCTTTCTTGCCATCAAGGATATTTTTCAGTGGCATAAAACCCCTTAACACAAAGGGTTGGCAGCAGACTTTTCCACAGTAATGTGAAATGTTCCGAACCCTTTATTTTCATATTCCAAAGTGCATGTGATTGTTGCCCAGTTGGCAAAATGTAAATGGGTTCATTGTGCTATGGGTTTTGTCACACCCATTACATGAGAAAGCAGACTAGGGCTGTTCCCTGCAAGCGGCTCGGGGGTCAGGGGAAAAAGGCAGGGTCTCCAGGCAGTGGCATTTAGGCAGGTCCTGTGCCTGCCCAGAAAGCACTCTGAGGAGAGGCTACGGTCAGCTTGGGGCTTGTTTTTGTTAGGACAAGGTGGTTTCCCATGTTCCATCAAAATCAGGGTTTGGGGGGAATATTTCAAACCCCTTTAAGTATTTTGGGAAAGCTTACTTCTTAAGGCTGAAATGAGTAACCTCCTTACTTTTTGTTCCAAAACCTTGTTTGACATCTTAGCGAATGCTCTGTCAGGTGGAAGGTGCTGTAATAAATGTGCACGAATGATGATAAAATGATTTTTTCCATCCCTCATACCATAGCTGCTGATAACATGCTAGCAATAGGCTTCAAAATGTTACCCGGGGTGGCTACGTGGCCTTGAGACACTGCTGGCTTTCTTGACCCGCCTGTTCTGAGGCTGTGTGTTATCCTTTCCTGTTCTGAGCACAGCCACGTAGGACCTCTCTGTCACCAGGTATGGGGCCTACCTGGGTTTCACCAGATTCTACCAGGAGCCAATATTTTTTTTCCCTGAAAAATCAGTGTCCAGAAAGTGGCCGCTTGCATTAAGCAACAGCCGTTCGGTTACTCATAACCCTGGAATGCTGACTTGATTGTAACAATAAATGGAGCTAACAGAGCAGAAAGAAATGTTCAAAACAGATTAAAACCATAGGCTTTGAAATGTTCTATATCCTGAGCATTTGCTAAAAACACATTTTTTAATCTCCCATCATCAGACCCATTTTTTTTCCCCCTAAAGTTTAGTCATATGCTGTAGTTGAATGAACCACACCCTGAAATTCTTTCCATCTTTTTCCTCTTTTGAAGAGTCATGCGTTAACTATTGGTGTTATTTGTGGAAGCCCAAAGTACTGTTCTATTGTTTGGGTCATGGAAACACTCTGGCTGATTTTACTTCAGTCTCTTGAGAAAGGAGCCTGAACCCGCATAAAGCAGAAAAGGAAATCCACTCCTTGGGGCAATAAATCAAGACAATTGCTTGGTGTGGGCAGTTTACTCCCTCTGGTCTCTCTTCCATGGTCTGTACTGAGCCCAGCCCTGTAAGAGGGGAAGTGAAAAAGGTCAAAAGCAGCAGTGTTGATTCTCCTGGAGGCTTCTAGGCCCAGCGGACTCATACCCTCATACCCGTTATGTTTGTGATCTTAAGGGGACCCCGAGCAGGGAAAACAAAGACTATTTTGCCGATGTGCAAGTTTTCTTTGTCAGAACTAAAGCCTTGTGCTCAGAGTTCTCTCCAAATATGTGCTGTTTCTTGGGCCCGCACAGCTCGTGCTGTCAGTTCCATGCTCTGAGGACTGTGTTGTGGGGGCGGGTGGCGGGCAGGCCAATCTTGAAACGAGGAAAGGACACTGTAAGCCAGAAGTGATCTGCTCCTTCCATTTGCACATGTGTACGTGTAAAGGGCCACACAGGGCTCCTCCTGAAGTCCTGCTTTTGATGGGACTTAGGGGGCCACACAAACATAGCTCCTCCTATGAAAATAAGCTTGAAGCTATCCGCCTGCTTCATTCCTTTGCAATTAAAGTCCTTGTGCTCAGCCCTCTGTGAACAGTAGCTTCATTCATTTGGCCCTTGCCGCATGGCTGGGGGGAATTAATCAGACAAAGAAATCATTATAGATTCCAATCACACACGCCTCGCCAAAAGTAGGCTTCTTGTTCTCGCTCTCTCCCCTCAGAGAACACTTGAGTGATTCCCCCTATCAATCAACAGCTGCCCTGAGGGTGGGCGAGGGCCTGGGGCAGGAGGAGGAATGGGGAGAGAGCGGCACAGGTGCCAGGAGTGGGAGGGCCCTGCGCACAGATCTCCCCAAGCGCTGCTTTCCCGGTTCTGGTTCCGCCCTGGAGCCCCGGAATTATGAGTATATGCATGTGGGGGAGAGGGAAGGACCCAGATACCATTATGCCTGAAAGCTGTCCCCCAAAATGGTCTTTCTGCTACAAATTCGAGTTTGGCAAGGCCCGGAGGTAGGGGTTCAGTACTTTTTTTTGATTCTTATCTTCCCACCCCTTCCCCACCCTCCATCCCCCCCACCCCCAACTGAGAAATCAGTGTGTGAGGGGTTAGAGACCTGCCCTGAGCTGGGCACATCTGCCAGAAAGATGTGACTCTGAGACCCCAGGGTGGGGGTGGGGGGCACTTGCTGAGAGGAATGTGTCCCTGGGCACTGGGGTCCTGGTCAGGTAGATGGTTGCAATCTGAGGAGCCTAGGAGATCTGAGAACACTTGAGACGGATCTAGGGGGAGCCGTCCAGATATGGGCAGAGTCCAGGGCAATTTCCCAGAGGAAGTCGACTGCTCTTGGTCATGTTCCCACCAATAGGATTCTGGGAGTAGGTTCAGCGAGAATCTGGGGGAGTCCCTTCTTAAGGATACCACAGAACACACTGATACAGAGGTTGTATTTTCACTCTCTCTGAAGAAGTAAAATATTATATTAAATGCCCAATCTTATAAAGTATTCAGATTGCAAAGTGGAAGATCATAAAAAATCCAACTGGGAGGGGCGCCTAGGTGGCTCAGTTGGTTAAGCGACTGCCTTCAGCTCAGGTCATGATCCCAGGGTCCTGGAATCGAGTCCCGCATCCGGCTCCCTGCTCTGTGGGGAGCCTGCTTCTCCCTCTCCCACTCCCCCTGCTTGTGTTCCCTCTCTCGCTGTGTCTCTCTCTGTCAAATAAATAAATAAAATCTTAAAAAAAAAAAAATCCAACTGGGAGATTAACACCTTTCAGTGAACTGACTTTCACAAACAATATGGCTTTATGCTAAGACTATTCCATGTGCCTAGAAGAGTTAGAAACTCAGACTTGATACTGTTTTATCGGCAATGCCTCTGCCAAAGAAAGCAGGAAATCCTATGAAGACGTGGAAAGAGGAAAAGGGGAGATAGGGAAGATTCTGGAATAATCTGTTCAGTTCAGCTGTACAATTCTGACTGATAAAATAAGCAGGCATTTTGTGGGTGGTTGAATTTATGTGTTCCTAGGGCTGAGGGAGTGCCTTTGAAAATCCAGCTCAAGTTTACAGTTCATCCCCATCCAGGAAGGCTGAGATTTCAGTCTCTCATGCTAATAGAATCCAAGAGCTGGTGGTCAAACGAGGTCAGGGGAAGGGCTGTCACTGCTTAAATATATCTCTTAATTTCAGTCCTTTTTTCTACATTCCGTCTTAGATCTATGGAGGCCCTGATTTCCACTCTCCCCGAATATCTCAGCTGTGTGCCCAAAGATCATCTGAGAATCCCATGCAGGTCTCCAGCACTGGAAATGAGCTAGCCATCCGCTTCAAGACCGACAGCTCTGTAAATGGGAGAGGCTTCAATGCCTCATGGCAAGCAGTCCCCGGAGGTGAGTGAACCAAGGAGGTGTCTCAAAATACTTAACCTGAACCCTTATAAATTTTATGAAATGATTGGAGAGAGAGGTATGAAGCCTAATATAGTGACAACTTAGTGACTCCTCAAATGGCAAAGGTTGCTTTGGCATATACTCTTCCCTAAAAAAAATGAGACAGAATTTTTTTTTTAAAGATTTTATTTATTTATTTAACAGAGAGACAGCAAGAGAGGGAACACAAGCAGGGGGAGTGGGAGAGAGAGAAGCAGGCACCCCACTGAGCAGGGAGCCCGATGCGGGGCTCGATCCCAGGACTCTGAAATCATGACCTGAGCCCAAGGCAGCTGCTTAGCCGACGAGCCACCCAGGTGCCCCAAAAATGTGATAGAATTTAACTTCCAGAGTTAAAATATGTGAAAACTAGGGCATGCAAGTATGCAAGTCCATGGTGAAAGCGGAAGTGGCGAAATTGGTTAGATTAACTTACTTTCCAAGGGCCTCAGGCCTGGTTACCAGCCTCAAATTTGGGGAAAATTACTTGGGGTAAATTATTTTGGGGTAAATACAGCAAAGTGGTAAATTACTTCATGCCATGGCATAGATCTTTGGATGCTTGGCAGATGCCCAAATTATAAATGTTAAATTTGTGAATTCCAAGGAATTGTATTATATAGTGACTTTCTGCCTAGGATCTTAGGCTGTCTAAAAATATTTACCTGTTGCAGATTTTTTTAAATAAAAAATGAATGTACAAAATATTTGAGCAGATGTTAACCTATACAACTACTAATAAAAACATGTTTGCTAGCAGCTTCCTATGTGCCAGGCATCTATTCCAACTGTTCTATGAGAACGATCTCATTTCATCTCTCACAACCACCCTATGAGGGAAGATAATTTCAAATCCTCACCTTACTAATGAGGAAATTGAAACTAGAGAAGTTAGTACTTGTCCAAAGTCACATAGCTAGGAAATACCAAAGTAGAGATGTGACCCCAGGCTACCTCATGGCCCCACTTTTGGAACCCTAACGTGGTATAGTAAGTGTGTTGGATCTTCCCTAAAGTTAATGATGCCTGAATTTAATGAGGATTATATATATGATTATGTATACATAGTGTTTAGATTACCCAAAATGGTTGTCAACTATTAGAAAATAATACTACATTTTTCTATTATAGGTTTATATTATCATAACTCCAAGATATGATAAGTCATAGAGATAGACATTGATAGGTATTTGATAATATCATAGGAATAAAAGGACTGAATAACTGTACCAGGTCCAGAATATTAAATTTTAAAAGGCAGATATTAAATTATTAAAAACATACACTACTAAGCTATCAAAATTCGTAGGAGATGTGTTATTCTTACAGTATATTATATTTTTAGAGAGCAAAGAAGAGGCATTTTATGGCTTTATGAGAACATGATTTTATTTGCACTTACTTTTCAGTATTTAAAAAATTTTTTTAAAAATTACTTTTGTCATCAGTATTTAAATTATTTGAGAGATTTTCTTAGTCATCCTTCTTTTTGTTGGGATGCATGAATTAATGGTGGATATTCAGTTCTGCACAATGTTTAGCACCAACTACATAAAACAGGTGGTTGAACAAAGCAGCATATTGTTCTGTGCTATCAGGTCATGGGGCAAAGTTTTATGCATCAGGGATTCCTCTCATTTTTGAATTGGGTTTCCTACTTACAGGTTGTGGCGGGATTTTCCAGGCTCCCAATGGAGAGATTCATTCTCCAAATTACCCCAGTCCTTATAGGCGTAACACTGACTGCTCCTGGGTCATTCGGGTGGAAAGAAATCACCGTATTCTCTTGAACTTCACTGATTTTGACCTTGAGCCTCAGGACTCTTGTATTACGGTAGGTGACACAAATTTCAAGCACCATCTCTAGTCAAACCTGGGTCAGAACATTGCTTTGTGAGCATATTTAATAAATGCATTAGTTATGGATGTTTTCAATGTCAAATCATGGGAAACCCAACTATTGGCAACTTAAAATATAAGGACATTTACTTTTTTACCTAAATACAAATCAAGAGGTAGTTGATTGCGGGGTTTGTTTAGCAACTCAGTTTCTATTCTACCATCGTTAGTGTGTTGATTTGTCATTTTGTGTTTGTTTCCTCATGGTCAAAAAATGGCTGCAGTAGCTCTGAACGTCCTGCCTGAGTACAGATGCAGAGAAAGGGAGAAAGAATAATGCTATTTGTTTCTATTTTGTATTTTTTGAATCAAGGAAGCAAAATTTTCACGCAAGTCCCTTTACATAATCATTGGTCGGAATTAGCTGCAAGAGAGAATAGGGAACTTTTAGTGGAACGAATTTATCGTAGCTACTTCAAATCAATTATTATTAAGCCTCTGAGGATTTTCATGGGTTCTACTTTTCTTGAGATCAGGATATCTCAATCTGCTACTTGAACAAATCAGTGTCTGATAGGACAGAATAAATTGGGGGATGGAGGTGGAAGAAAGAGAGATGCCTGTTAGTTGGTTAGATGACCAAAGTTTCTGTCACTACCTTCAACTTAAATACATTCTCACCTGAAACTAATGCTTTATCCTTAATGCAAGAGTGAATGAGGATGTATTTTGAGATTTTCTTTTTGTTTTTCATTTTTTTTTTTTTTGGTTACCTGATTTTTTTTAACCAAAGATTTTTCCATCTTTCATTTGTATTTAGAGACATTTCATTCAAATATAAACCAGATTCTCTTGGCTAATGGATCTTTCTATTTAATTTTCTGACAGTTTCTTACACAAACTCCAACTGGCTAGCTTTCAGATTTAACTCAGGAAAACTCAAAAGTTGTTTTCAAAATAGTCCAGTCAAATGGTATAATTTCAAATACTGTTTTACAAGATGAAATCAGTAATCTACTTAAAAGATCAGTTGATTTATGACTATAAATCTAAGTTGGCAAAGCATTGTACAAACTTAAGGTATAGAGCAAAATATACACTTGCCATAACAGTGACTCACACCAACTCTCCTGACAAAGACAATTTAAACATTTTAATGATATTAAAAACATTTAATGATATTAAAAAACACCTTCCTAAATGTAGCACAGAACTCACAAGATAGTGTGAAATTTCTGAGTTAATATTTGAGAGATGTGAGTCTAGTATTTGAGATAGCTTTTACCTATAGGGCATTTGCTGATCCAGAAGGGGTTAGCAGCACCTCTGTGAGCCTCTCAGGGCGAAGAGAAGCAAAGTTTGAGTTCAGAGATGGAATAGGGTGGAAGTCCTGCCAAACCATCCCATATCCTAGGTATAAGGAAAATAAAACAGCCTTCACAGAGACTGCATCCCAGCTTTGAGTCATCTGAGTGGCCCCCAAAATCTGAAGCCATGGAATAATGAGAGGGCACCCTGTACTGTTAACATACCTTTGGACATCTGACAAAGGCAATTTAGAATCTTCTTCAAAGGGAGATAAATTCATCCTAGATCTCCTTTCTACTAATAATTTTTCGTGGACAATAGCCAGCACATTATAAAAGATATGCATGTACCTGAGGAGATAATATAACATAAATGAGATACAATATGAATAACAGACAATGGAAATAAACATACTAATATGGCAGATTGGTAAACAATTACGATTACTAAGCTTGTGGAGATAAAAGTCAAACTTGAAACTCTCAGCAAGGAACTGCAAACTATATAAAGTGACACTGCAAATATGAACGAGAACCAATTAAAATTTTTAGAACTGGATAAAATATAATAGCTGAAATTAAGATCTAGTCAAAGCTTTTTTTTTTTTTTTTTTGTATTTTAGACAGATTAGACAGAGATGACAAGAGAAACAGTGAACTGGAAGATAAGTCAGAAGAATCTATTTAGGGAAAAAGCACAGATAAGCAAAAGGATAGAAAATATAGAAGAGAGGTTAAGACACATAGAAGAGGCTTATAAAAGATATAACATACATTTGGGGTGCCTGGGTGGCTCAGTCGTTAAGCGTCTGCCTTCGGCTCAGGTCGTGATCCCAGGGTCCTGGGATCGAGTCCCGCATCAGGTTCCCTGCTTGGCAGGGAGCCTGCTTCTCCCTCTCCCACTCCCCCTGCTTGTGTTCCTTCTCTCACTGTGTCTCTCTCTGTCAAATAAATAAATAAAATCTTTTTAAAAAAAAGATATAACATACATTTAGTTGTAATCTCAGAAGGAAAAGTGAGAGATAAATGGAACAGAAGCAATATTTGAAAAGCTAATGACTAAGACCTTTCTAAAACTGATGAAAGACATCACATTTATAAAAACAAGAATCCCAAGGAACCCAAACAACTAAGTGAGTAGAAATAGAAAGAGAAATAAATAGAAAGATATACTAATCTAAAAAAATGAAAGATAAAAGGAAAATATTACAATCAGTCAGGGGAGTGGGTAGGGGAACAGATTGCCTTTTAAGAAGTGGCAGACTGAACCCTGACTTTCAACAGTGATGATTAGAAGGAGAAAAGACAATGGAATGGTGCCTTCAGTCTAAAGAAAGAAAATAACTACCAACCAGGGACTCGGTACTCTCCTAATATAATAGTCTTTAAGAATGAAGGTGAGGGCGCCTGGGTGGCTCAGTTGGTTAAGCAACTGCCTTTGGCTCAGGTCACGATCCTGGAGTCCCGGGATTGAGTCCCACATCGGGCTCCCTGCTCAGCAGGGGTTCTGCTTCTCCCTCTGCCCTCTTCCCTCTCGTGCTCTCTGTCTCTCATTCTCTCTCTCTCAAATAAAAATAAATAAAATCTTTAAAAAAAAAAAAAAAAAAAGAATGAAGGTGAAATAAAGCATTGAAACAGAAAAGGGGTCTTCAAGAGAAGTTCAAATGGGCCAGAAACAAATTGTTTACCTCGTAGATTTGCCTGCAGTGGGCAATTCTCCACCATTTGCTTCCTCTCCCAGTTGGTATGGTGCCAGGTATGGTATCTTCTCTTCTCTCTGGTAAAGTCCGTAACCCATAGAATTCAACATACAAAGGTGTGTGAACAAAACAAAGCCTAGGTCAAAGGCACACCCAGCATGGCTGCATTTTTCCCCTCCTGTGTTCATGAGTAGAGCTATCCACCTACATGAGATAAAAATATACAGACAGGGTTTGCTATGAACCACTGCCATATCTCAGCCTGCAACCTGGCTTGACTTAACAAACTTAGCTGGAGGCAACAGATAGGAGGAAGTGAAGCCTCAAATATGATCTGGTCATAGGCATGGAGACAGGAAAATAAACCCAAAGACAGGTGCTGGGAGGAGTTCAGTCTAGCAGATGAGATAAAATATAAAATGTAATAGTCCAAACAAGTTGTCGGAAAAAGGGAATCCCGTATGAAGTAGTTGCAGTATCCCTGCCTGTGGGCAGATGGGGCATTCAGAAACAGGTGCCACTAAGCACTTGAGCAAGACTTCGATATAAAAAATGAATTACATCAATCGCATTGTGCCATGGTTAAGAAATCTAGCCTTGTGGTGGGGAAGACCTGGGGCTGAGCCTGAATTCTGCCATTTTCAGGCTGTGTTGCCTTGGAGAAAGTTAACTTTTCAGCTGCAGTTTCTTTAACTGTGAAATGGGGAGAATAAGAGTACCTGTGTAAGATTTATTGTTGGGATATTTGAGATGATGTAAGTGACCTGCTTTTCATGTAGAAAGGTATTGATTCATGCTAGCCATAATCATAACAATGCTGATGGTGAGTGCCCTCCGAGAGGCATGTTCAAGGAGCCTGGGAAAGGGGGCGGCACGGAATACTAAAAGGAGCAATGGGCTGAAGATCCAGGGCTCCCCATCTGTGATCATGGGCCTCAAGGACATCAGTGAAAGAAGAACCTGCTTAAGAACCTTTCTCATAGCACAAGGCCTAGCATCTCATGTACCTAGGACGCCATAACTGTAGTAATCATCATGAGAAAAGAGAAGGAGCGATTCATTTGGGTCTGGAAACCAGAGAGGGTTTCACATTGGAGATGACATTTGAGTGGCAGAATTTCACCAGTAGAAATGTGGTAGTGAGGCCAAGAGAGGAGGCTTTGGGAAAAGAATAGGGGAAATTGTGCACCGAGGTATGACTATGCACAGACATGTGGGAATAGAAAAGACGTTGTACTGGAGTGTGGCTATACATGGGTGAGCATGTAGAGACCAAGAGTCTATAGAAGACATTCTGAGTGGCCTCAGGATTGGACAAACTCTCTCATGCTTTCTGAATCTGAAATTATCCTATAGAGAGAATGGGAAATTTTCTGTAAAACAGAGGAATCACATACTCAAAACTGTATTTTACAATGATAAGAGGCAGCCAAGTGAGGACTGGGTTGGCAGAGAAAGAGAAAGGTAGCATGAAGGCTGTTTGGGAAGCTGTGGAAAAACCTTGGGCAGTGGCCTTGGGTGTGGCAAGAAAGAGACGTATTGGAGAACTCATGGTGGTTGTACCATCACCAAAATTTAGAGACTAATTACGTGGTAAAGGGTGAGGTGGGTGATAGAGATGAGGGAGTTAAATCTATTCACTTGAAGAATGAGTGAGTGATGATGCCACGAAGTTAAGTGAGTAAAGGGGTAGATACCATGGGTTTGATTTTTGGAAACTTTTAAGTTTAGAGGTCCATACTATGGCCTTTATAGAGTTTGACATAGGAGTTTAGTGCTCAGGGTGGCATCTGAGCTGGACATGTACATTTGACGATATTTTTGTATATCTGGGTAGTTGTTAAAGCCACAGAAGTAGGTGTGATCACTTATAATAGCATTTTCTAAAGAGAAAAGGGCCAAGTAAACTCTTTGGGAAATATCACCATTTAAGGGGCAAATGGAGGAACAGAGGAAGAGAAGACTAAGAAAAGGCACTCAGAAGTAGGTGGAGAACCAGAGAGAGTGGTAGTATAGAAATGAGGAGTGAAGCCAATTTTAAGAGTGGGTGATCAAAGGTATCGAAGGTATCAAATCCAGCAGAGGTCAGCTAGGAAGGGGATTGAAGCAAGGCCACTGGATTCAGTCTTTGATGACCTAGTAAGAAACAGGATGGGTGTGGGTAGTAGTGGAAGACACTAGATCATGATGGGTTAAGAGGGACAGGAGCTTCTTAGCTTTTTCCTAGAGTTATGGCTGTGAATGGTATAAGGTGATAAAAGGCTATAACCTATGGGTAAGGCAAGACCAATGGAAAGATGGTTTTTTTGTTTGTCTGTTTTAATGATGGAGAAGCTTGAGCATGTGGAGAAGGCATGGTGCTGGTAGAAAAGAACAGCTGAATGTAAGGGATAAATGGAAAAACTGATGAAGTCATGTTCAAGGCAGAGATCTGGAGATGGATTGGTCCTATAAATTTCATATTTTCAGGATGAGAAATTAAAACACATGGCTAACCCTAAGATATATAGTTTTCTTCGATTTGCAAATGTATTTAATTGAAAGTTACAGAAATCACACATAAGCTAAGTCATTTTTGTTTGTACAATTTATAAATTACCTTTACAAATAGATAAAGTAATGTGAAGAAGGACTATTCTGGTAAACTAGGGTAGAGATCTGCTATGTGTAGTTGCCAAGTGGACCCAGTTAATAGGATGGGAGGCTGGCAGAGCTTGGAACCAGGCGGGCAGTGTCCTGGCGAGGCTGGAAGCTTGGCTCCAGTTACAGTTAGTTGTCCAGGGGTTCATGAAGGCAAGCATTGAGGCACCAACCATCTATCCTTTACAGCTAGATGGACACTGGATGTGAAACGTACCCTACAGTCCAATATCTTACATAACATCTCTGCAGGTTAAGTTCCTACAAAGCCAATCATTCATTCTGGAGACATTCAAGTTAATTTCTTGGTCCTGTTGCTTAGAGTCATTAGCAAAGAGAAAAATATTCAGCTGCCAATGATACTGCCAGATAATATTTGTGTTCATGGGATTTTTCATAGAGCTCAAGTGTACTATTAAATATCAAGGTCAATTATGGCTGGATGCGACCAGCAATCACGTTTTTTACAACTCCTGTAACAGTTTGGATTATCAGAATTGGAAATATTAATTTTAACAGACATTATGACTAATAATCACAAACGCGTAGATACATAGGATGTTAAGGTTGCAAGAGGAGACATTAGAGATAATTTACTGTCATGTGCTGATTTTTTGGGTAGTAGTCTCATTTTAAAAATAAGAACATTGAAGTCCAGAGGGTCAGGATCAAGACCACGTAAAAATTAATAGCAGCCAGCACTAAAACATAAGCAAGCCTAAAGTAAGAGTAAGTATTCTGATCAAATATAAAAATTACAGTGTACAGGGCACCTGGGTGGCTCAGTCAGTTAAGCATCTGCCTTTGGCTTAGGTCATGATCCCGGGGTCCTGGGATCAGATCCCGCATCGGGCTCCCTTCTCAGCAGGGAGCCTGCTTCTCCCTCTGCCTCTCTCTCTCTCTGTCTCTCATGAATAAATAAAATCTTTAAAAAAAATTACAGTGTACATGCAAGGAACTGAACTGCAGAATAGAGGACAACTGAAAAAATAGGGGGAGAAATAAAACTAGGGTTCCTTTGGAACCATTTTGAATTCTCTTTTGGATGAACCCAGACTTCATTTATTGATATAAGTAAGAGTGTTAGGATTCCAGATATGACGTGGAAGGTGTCTTTGTCTTGAAGTCAGGTAGTCTGGGCTCCATATACCTATTTAATCTATGGTGTCAACTACGCGCCAAACCCCACTAGGCATTAGTGTCTGGGCATGGCTCCACCACTCACTCTCGTCATGGCTGGGGGATCTGAGATGGTTCATTTATAAAATTGAGTGCCTGGCAAACCCACAGAGAAAGAGGATCCAGTTAGGAGTTGCGTCTGTGGGTGGGAAGAGAAGTGCGAGGTGGGACGTGAAGAAACAGACACTGGGGGTCTGGTGACATCAGTGTGTGTTCACTCCAGAGGTCACAGTCAGACTCGCAGAGACTTGCTAAGCTTCGGTGTCTGCTTTGGGATGCAGGATTGGCCTTGGGTAGGATGTCATCTCCACACTCCACTTGCCCTGCAGAAGAGAGCTCTTCCTGTAGCAGGTCCAGTCCCCAGCGGTCCTAAGTGGAGGCAGGGTAAGCCCACAGGGGACCCCAAGCCATCTCTCTTGGCCTTGTGGAGGCAACATTTAGCAAGAAGAAGAAATGGATGAAAATTTTAAAATGGAACAGTAATGCACAGCCTCCATCCCCTTTCATGTAACCAGCAGCAGTAGTCTTTGTATCCCAAAGACAGAAATCTGGTGCACGAATTACTGGTAGATGCATGGCTGAATACATGAATAAGTGAATTCTGTAGTCTCTTCTCCTGCAATAATCAGCTCTTTAGTGGAAAATTGCAGATGACACATTTGGGAATGTGTTGTGCTGAGTTCACTCCCTGGCACAATTATTGATATACAATCTCACTATTTTGAGCCACATGAGAACTTAGATAACATCTCAGAAGTGTGTTTTCTAGAATTTCATGCTGCTGTAATGAAAAAAGAGAGAGAAACCGAATTTTCTGACTTCTACTGAAATGGTGATGGCATCGTGGGGAGCTAATCAGAAAGCTCAACTGGCGCTCAGGTCGCAACTAATTTGGTAATATGTTTGCACTTTCTGCTCAGTCCCTTTTGAGTGGCTGGTGTAATTAACCTCAGGCTCTCCTGAATGACACATTGTGAGTATTTCTTGCTAAGGCAGCAGTGGGACCCACTGGTTGGGCATGACTCTGTATGGTCAGCATGAAAATGGCTCCATTATGTTGCCTTTCATGAAGGCTGAGTATTAAAGTGACCTCCGACTGACAGTTTAATTGCTTAATTAGAGTCTCTCTTCTGAGCCTTAAATCCATGTAACTCTGCAAGCTCTTACCGATCTCTGAGAAATGCTGGTGGTAGCTCAGTGTGAGAGCAGGAGAGGTTGGTTCTGCTGCTGTAGCAGGGGCCCTGGAGACTCCTGCCCTCTGATTTCAGCATCCTCTTTGCTCAGCACAATGGAATGTCTGCCTTGTGAGAATCAGTCAGAAGCAGATAAAAGCAAGCAGAGCACAGTCCAGATCCAGCCTCTGGTTTGGAGAAAATATACATTAA